TTGTTGTTGTTTTTTTTTTTTTTTGGTTTTGGGGTTTTGCTCTCAAAAAAAAAAAATTTTTTTAAAGAAAAAGATTAAAACAAGTTGCAAATGGCTCTGCCAACTCCCAGCCACCATCCACCTCGCTGGGAACCGCTCTGGCCTGACCCCCAGCACGTGTTTTTGGAAGAACCGGGATGATGCTCTGCCCCAGCCGTGCCTTCCTCCACGGAACATCATTATTGCTTAATTCTCCCTTCCCATACTGGCCTTTAGGGTTATTTACATTTCTTTGGCTTGACTTGAACTCAACAGTCTGGCACTTTCTCTCCAGCTGCCAACGCGGAGCCGCCGCCGGACGGGGCGGGGGGGCAAGGAGGGGAAGAGGCCACAACGAGAAAACACGGGTGGGCTTCTGCTGGTCAGGCGAGCTGTGCTTCTCCCAGTCGAAATAAGACAACTTGTGTTTGGCACAAACTCATCCGGAGTCGATCCGCCGTGCCTGGGGATCCCCATCGGGACAATCCTCCTGGTGCCGCGGTTCCCACGGGAACAGGGAGCGGGGCAGGGTGGGGGGAAGGTGCTGTGGACACCCCCCATGCAGGGCAGGGAGCCCCATCCTCCCCCACCCCCGAGGGCGGGCAGCCGGTCCTGCCCCCTCCCTCCGAGGCGCTCAGACCACGAACTCGGGGACTTCGTCGTGGGTGAGGTCCAAGGAGAAGTATTTGCTGGTTCTTTTGACGGGGAAGGTCTCCTGGATGTTGATGCACTGCTGGGCCAGGCAGCCGTTGCAGTAGAGCCCGTCCTCGTCCAGCCCGTGGGCACAGCCGAAGGTGTAGCTCTGCGCCGTGTCCTGGCACAGGTTGGCCAGCTGGAGGAAGTCCTTCTGGTAGAGCCGGATGTCGTCCAGGCTCAGGCTGTGCCGGTCCGTCGACGTCTTCGATTTCCTGCACGACGTCTGGGGAAAAAGCAAAGAGGCTTCAGGACCCTCCGGGAAGCCAAGGGAATCCTGAAAAATGGCAGCCCCGCCGAACCACCCCGAACCACCCCCCCAGGGCCGCGCACCTGGGGCAGGGAGTCGGTGCTCTGCCCCCGCAGCTTCACCACCGTCTCCGAGGAGCTGGAGGTGGAGGAGCTGATCTCCTTCACGATAAGCCCTGCGTGGAGAAGGGAGGAAGAGGAGGGTGCGAAGGTTAATTTTGAGGTGTCTCAGCTCTCTTGGGATCCAACCCTGCTGCCCCTGGGGCTTGTCCCTGCTTTGGGGCACAAGGCACCCTCTGCTCAACGGGGTGCCACTAGCTACAAAGCATCCCAAATTTGCCCCCAGAACTGCATCCAAAGCCATCCCCAGTGAGCCTGGTACCTCAGAAACCTTCCAGCACAGAGCTGGAAATGTGGGTGACTCCCTGGGTGCAGGCACAGCTCCAGAGAAGATCATTGAGTCCAACCATTCCTCCAGCACTGCCAAGGCCACCACTAACCCATGTCTCCAAGTGCCACATCCTTTTAAATCCCTGCAGGGATAGGAACTTTACCACTTCCCTGGGCAGCTGTGCTGGGGATGGACCACCCTTTCCATGTAGAAATTTTCCCTAATATCAGCCTAAACACCCCCTGGCAAAACTTGAGGCAGTCTCCTCTTTTTTTTTACCCCATCTCTCCTTCAACCCACTTGGCCAAACAGCTTTTCCCGGTGTCCCAAATGGACACTTTGGGCTAACGCCACTCTGCTGAACACCAAAGAATCAGAGAATGACCTGGGTTGGAAGGGACCTTAAACACCCTCTCGTTCCAAGCCCCAAAGGTATGACTTGGGCTGGGGAATTGGAAGTGAAAGCGGCCACCGCCTTACCCGAGTGCCCGTTGAACTTGCGGGACAGCAGCATGTCCTCCGTGATGTAGACGCACATGTCGGGGCTCACCTCCATGTCTCCAGCCTGCTCCAGCTCCCGGGGGTCATCCACCAGCATCTCGATTTCTGCCGGAGACAAGAAGGTGGGACGAGCCGCTGACGTGACTCCTCACACCCCGATCACCCGCTGGGACTCACGCTGGAAAGCCCAAACCGGTGTCTCACCATCATCCTGGGAGTCCTCCTCCAGCCGGTCCTTCCCGCCACTCTCCACGCCGGAGGTGTGGGAGCTGCCGTGGCTGGTCATGGAGCTGCAGGTCTTCAGCTTGCGGTGGGCGCCGGCGCCGGAGAAGCCGTCGTCGGGCCCCATCTCCCTGGGTTTGGGGTCGGCCTCGATGCCGGAGGTGTGGGAGCTGCTGTGGCTGGCGGTGGAATGCCGGGAGAGCCGCTTGTGCCGGATGCTGCCGGCGCTGCTGCCGCTGGCGCGCGAGCGCTTCTCCAGCTGCTCCATGTCCAGGTCCAGGGTGTCGCTGATGTAGGATTCCCGGTATTGCTTCTTCTCTGCAGGGTAGAACAACATCAGCAGCCTGCATCCCGACCCCCCGGGGCTCACTGGATTCCCTGGAAGGGCACGGACCACCCTGGCACACAGGGGCACCCGGGGGAACTGCCACCCGAGCCCGGCATGGGGACACACCTGGAGCCAGCCCTGCCCTGGTGGCATTCAGGGATGGTGGGATGGGGGCCTCAAACTTGCTGTGCTCTGTGCTGGGCTGCCCCTCAAAGGGGGAGGAGGAGGAGGAGGAATAAGAGTTGAGGAAGAGGAGGAGAAGAAGAAAGAAAATTAGGAGATGCAGGAAGAGGAGGAAAAAAGAGAGGAGGAAGATGAAGATGAGGAGAAGGAAGAAGATGAGGAGGACAAGGAGGAAGAAGAAGCTGAGGAGTAGGTGGAGAAGAAAGCAGATGAGGAGGATGAGGAGGAAGAATAAGATGAGAAGAAAAAAGAGGAAGAAGAGGAGGGGAAAGAGGGAGATGAGGAAGACAAAGGAAGATGAGAAGGGGAAAGAGAAGAAAGAGTAAGAAAAGAAGCAGGAAGAGGAAGAGGAGGAGGAAGAGGAAGAAGAGAAGGAGGAAGAGAAAAAGGAAGAGGAGGAAGAGAAAAAGGAAGTAGAGGTAGAAGAGGAGGAGGAGAAAAACAAAAGAAGAGAAGGATGAAGATGAGGACGAGGAATAAGATGAGAAGGAAGAAGATGTGGAGGATGAAGAGAAGAAAGAAGAGTAGGACAAGGAGAACAAATAAGGAGGAGGAGGGGGAAAAGGAAGATGAGGAAGAGAAAGGAAGATGAGGAGAGGAAAGAGGAGGAAGAAGATCTGATGCTTTCACAAGGATTTCTGAGTTTGGAGATGGGATGAGGGGTACTGGGAAATGCTGCATGGGGGCACTGGGAGGAACTGGGCCATCAGGGATGGCAGCAGGACTTCGATCTCGTATCCTTTAGTATCCCTTAGCAGCACTTGTACCCCTCAGTATCTAGTGGGAACGTGGACACCCAGCCCAGCCAGGAGATTATCCTGTTGGGCAGGGATGGGGCGTAGGATGCACAGTCCGGGGGGACGTGGGGACAGCCACCCCCCGACACGCTCCCAGCCACGGGGCTGGCACACCAGGCACTCCTAGGGGCAGAAATGCCAGGCAGGAGTCTGTCACCGGTGGGATTTGAGAGTCTGTCACCGGTGGGATTTGGGAGTCTGTCACCGGTGGGATTTGGGAGTCTGTCACCGATGGGATTTGGGAGCCTGTCACCAGGGGGACCTACCCTCGTTCTCCTCCAGGCGCCGGACCTGGCGCAGGACGGGCTGCAGGTTCATGTAGAGCCGGTGGCTGCTGCTCAGCAGCTGCAGCAGGTGCCGGGAGCGCAGCGGGCACCCCGTGTAGTAAATGAGCTTCCTGGCAGAGGGCAGCCCGTCAGGCAGGATCTCAAACTTCTTGCCCTGTGTGGGAGAAGGGAGAGATCAGCCCTGAAGAGGGAAAACACTCCGTTTCTCCCCCCAGTCCTGCTGCAGCCCATGGTTAACCTACGGGTTGTAATCAACCCGCTTGAGGTCTGGGCAACTGCGCCCCACGCCCAAATCAGAGCCCAGGAGATGCTCTGCCTGGGGATCATGGAATCACAGAGTGGTTGGGGCTGGAAAGGATCTTCAAACCCATCTCATTTCCCCCCCTGCCATAGGCAGGGACACCTTCCGCTAGCCCAGGTTGCTCCAAGCCCTGCCCAACCTGGCCTGAAACACTTCCAGGGATCCAGGGGCAGCCACAGCTTCTCTGGGCAACCTGTGCCAGGGCCTTCCCACCCTCACAGTATGATTATATTATTAATTTGGCATATTAATCATATAATGGTGACTGGGATGACTACGGGAAGATCTCTG